TGCGTTATGCGGGCCTCTCACTGTTGTGGCCTCTCCCATTTGCGGAGCACAGGCTCCGGACGCGCAGGCCCAGCGGCCATGGCTCACGGGCCCAGCCGCTCCGCGGCATGTGGGATCCTCCCGAAACGGGGCACGAACCCGCGTCCCCTGCATCGGCAGGCGGACCCTCAAGCACTGCGCCACCAGGGAAGCCCTCATGGATTCTTTTATTCAGTGTATTATAATTGAATTCTAGTCCATTACTAGCATTATTATTTTGATTTTCAAATTGACCCAAACTTGACCAAGGCAAGCCCCTTCACACTGTTTCCTGTGTCCTTTTGACATGTCCCCATCTTTCTTCTAGCACTTCTGTACTTTCTGACACAGCGAAGTGTTCAAGACTTACTCATACTTTTCTTGCCCAAGCCTTGAAATCTTCAGTTGTTTCTAAGGATCCCTGGTTTCTTTCAGTAGGGAATGGTAATAAGGGTGATTGCCTTTTTGACATATTCTCTTAAATAGCTCAAAAGCACCTCAAATAGAATATGCCCCAAACCATGATCTTACCCTGGTCATATATACCTCTTTCCTCTCAAAATTGGTCTTCCAGTGTACCTTGTTTACTAGTTGCTGTAAAAGCCCCAAACATGGGTGTCATCCTTGACACCTCCTCACAGAGGTGCACACGTTGAATTCACTAACAGGTACCTCCTAAATAGGTCTTGAATCTATCCACTTCTCTCCATGACTCCATCACCAACATACTAATTGATCAACTCTCTCCCATCATAGCTTCCCGTGACATAATGTGTATCTCCTTTATAAAACTTGTCATGATTTCAGTTTAGCATCTTGGTGTGTGATTACTTCATGTCTGTTTCACTAGAAAAAAAGTTTCAGCAAACTTTTTCTGTAAAGGACCAGATAGTAAATATTTTAGGCTTTGCAGGCCCTGTGGTCTCTGCTGTACCTGCTCAACTCTGCTGTTGTGGCATGAAAGTACCTGTAGATAATATGCCAACAAATAAGTTTGTTCGAGTAAAACTTTATTTACAAGAACAGGTGTTGGGTCAGATTTAGTCCATGGGCTATAGTTTGCCAACCCCTGCTCTAGACTGTAAGCTCCATGACAGGAGGGATTGTATAATCCCATTACTTACCAGAGTTTTTGGTACATAGTAGGAACCCCAGAACTTGTTGAATGACTATGAATGAATGAGTAATAGATTCAGATAATCTCTGTGATCCTTGGTTTCCTCATGTCAGAATTTCAGTGTGTGAATAGGAGTCAAATATGATTATTCAGATGAAACTGTCAAGTAGTGTATAAATATATAAAAACGAAGAGTTCTTTAAAATCTTCTGTCAAAGAAAAAGTGAGAACCAACCTAAGAATCTTTCAAAGAAGTGGAATACTTTTGAGGAAGACAATCATGATTTCAGGGTTTCAAGAAAGGACTACAAGTTCAAGATTTACTTTTTAATTATTGGAGGCAGAAGAAGGAAATGTTAAAGATATTTTAGGTGCTAACAAAATCAGAGGTGTGGTGAATGTGAAGAGCATGAACAATAATACAACAGCGCATGGAGGGGGCAAACAAGGCAAGCGACCTCCTGGTGCAAAGGGCCATGTCAAGTTTGAACAAATAGTAATGTTAGTATAACCAAGTTTTGCTTCCTTATTCACACCCACCCAACTTTAATGATGTCATGGTTTTTCCATGTGGGAACAAGTATGACTGGTGGTGGTAGGGGAGTTCCCCCCACCATCATCTGTACTACACATATGCAAATTAGTAATATTTGTAGCAGTTGAGAAATTTTCCATAAATGACATTTTGAAACTTTTGTTAAATATTATTGTTAGTATTAAATATCTTTCTAATGAACAAATATGTAGTTTGATGCTTTCTTATGATGAATGATTATTATAACTTCATATGATAGGGCACAAAACATATTCCACTGCTGCTGGCAGTGAAGTCATTTGAAGTCAAAAACGAGATGTCCATGGAGTGGAGAGGTTGAGGTGTAAGAGGATTAGCAGGCACTGTAGCAAACTGCAGAGCCCTGTATAAATGGGGCTGCAGGTGCTTAGCTCCAGCCAGGTGTTTCTGTGCCAATCTACTGTTGCCAGACCTTTAAAATGTTCAAGAGAAGCCAGAAATCCAGAATGTTTTTATGCAGTTACCTGGTTTTTAAATGTTGGTAGCCTACGCACATTTTTTAAAAATGTAGTCAACACTTTTATGAGCTCAGCAAAACTATACCTGTAGGTGTCAGCCTGTGGGCATCTTTTTACAACTTTTGCTTTACATTATCAAATGTACAGATTTTATTGATTTGATTATGAATTCGTTTGGGAGGTGAATTTTAGCTTTTTGGTGTTGCCTTCCTCTTAATCTTTGTCTACTTTGGTATATTTGATGCAGGAATATTAGTAAGATCTAACCATAAAATACTGTATGTAAAAGTGATAAAGTATACACTGCTTTTCTTTTAACAGTTCTCTTAGAAATATAGCCCCATTTTTTTATCCTCACATCTTTATCATAGCAATTGGAAATGTACTTCATGCTTTTAATATCTCCATCTGACATTATGATGACCTTTCAGTGCTGGTTATATGCTTGATTTTTGCAGTATCCTTTAATAAAACCTCATTTATGTGTCCTTGTATTCAGCTATAAGGAAATTTGAAAGTTCTGTGTTTTCCTTCTAGTTTTCAAAATTTGGGTATTCGATGTGTGAAAAAAAAAGAAGTAAAAGAAGCTATTATTTCAAGAATAAGGGCAGGAATCAATCCTTTCAATGGTAAGTATGTTTGATTTAATTATTTCTATTATTTGGATATTGACTTATTGTGATAAATGATTTCTATTTGTATCTTCAACCTGTGCTTTAAAAGCTGTCTTAAGTTCTGTGTTAACTTATATACTTGTCTTACACCTGTAAATGAGGATTGAAGTATCTTTAAAATGCTTCAGTGTTGAAAAAAAAATGTTATTCACACAAGGCTTTCTACTATCAGTGAAGAGTGTCATTGTTTTCTATAAGAAAACCCTCTCAAAAATATTCTGATTCTTTTGGAATGTGGCCTTCCTTTTGCCACTCCAGCAGACAATATATACTCCCCTCTCTGAATATTGAATAGGCACTGTGGTTATAAGGTATTGGAGTGCATTTAACTCAAGGGCATATTCAACAGTGAAACTTAAATTAATCCCAATGTGGAAGTAGTATAGAAATAGTAGCGGCTATAGAAAATATTTTCGTAGTATATTTGTGTGTACGGCTAGATATTTACTGTTCAGTGGATTTTGTTGGGGATGATACTGTCTGGTGTAGCACCTGGTAATGGTGCCACAATTGCTACAGAATAGGTGAGGGCTATATTTCTTGAATAGAAAAATGACTACAAAGCTGACATCCTACACTACAGTGGTCTCCGTTGTAAAGTCATCTGCAGCCACTTAAATATGCATAATTCAGGTATTGAACAACTATAAAATTTTCGAAGAATAGATTTCTTTGTCATATTTAAGATATCCTTATATTGTTAGTTTGCGTTTTTTGTGGATGTTTAAAAATAATTTCAGGGATATGATGATAATTTAAAGAATATGCTCATAGACAAGTAGTGTTTTTATGAATTATAAGGTCTGCATCTCTTTTCTCTAGGTCTTTATTTTTCATACTATTTAGTATAACACAAAAAGCAAAAGTCCCCTTCTTTCTCTTCACTATTACTCACTGTAAGAGACTACTGTTAAATTTGATGTAAATTTTTCTAGAATTTTCTTTATACATGTGTCATGTATATATATACACACACATGTATTTTTTATACAAATGGAGTCATGTTACACTTCCTAATCTACTGCTTCGTACTTTTCACTCAGGAGTATATCTTAAACATCTTTCCATATTAGTACTTATAAATCTAGTTTACTTTTTAACAGTATTCTGTGGTTTGGGTAGGCTTTAATTTGTTTATCTAGTCATCTATTAATAAACATTTAAGTTATTTTCAATTTACTAAAAAAATTCCATTGAATATAGACTTTGAACTCTTGTGTGATTTTTTTAAAAAATTTATTTATTTATTTATTTATTTATTTTTGGCTGTGTTGGGTCTTCGTTGCTGCGCGCGGGCTTTCTCTAGTTGCACTGCGCGGGGGCTACTCTTCGTTGTGGTGTGTGGGCTTCTCATTGTGGTGGCTTCTCTCGTTGTGGAGCATGGGCTCTAGGCACGTGGGCTTCAGTAGTAGTGGCATGCAGGCTCAGTAGTTGTGGTGCATGGTCTTAGTTACTTAGTTGCTCTGCGGCATGTGGGATCTTCCCGGACCAGGGCTCAAACCTGTGTCCCCTGCATTGGCAGGTGGATTCTTAACCACTGGGCCACCAGGGAAGTCCCACTTGTGTGATTTTTTTTTCCTTAAATATTTTCTGTGCCTTCATTTCCTTATTTATAAAGTGGAGATAATAATAGTACCTACTTCATAGGTTGTTATAAGAATTAAATGAAGTAAAATATGTAAAGCACTTATTATGTACTAGGAACTATTCTGAGTGCTTTATGAGTATATGTTATTAATATCATGCCTTGTTCTGGATTGGTAAAAACAAAAATCAGAAAACCCCCCAAACTTCCACAGATGGCCCATCTGCCTTTTGACTCCTGCATTTTCCTTTTTAATGCCCTTTCCACTGGAGTCAGGAGATCTGGATTTGAATTCCAGCATTGCCACTTGTACGTGCTACGTGACTTGGGAAAATTAAGTAACCAAAGCTTTGGTTTTCTCTTCTGTAAAGCAGTGTTGTAATGATTAAATAAAATAGCGTACATAAAGTAGTTAACATTTACTCCTTGACATACAAATAATACTTAGTAAGTGGTAGCTATTATTTATAATCTCCTTGTTTTATACTGCATTATCCCTGTTTCATACTATGCCTAGACTTGATGGCCACTCTAATTTAAAAGTTGGCCTTTTACTTTAGCAATAAATCAAAATTTTAAATGAGCATACTCTTGACCCAGAAATTTTCAACTTTTGAAAATTATCCTAAGGAAATAATACCTGGTGGAGCTAGGATTTGAAAACAGGCAGCCTGGCTCTCGGGCACACTGCTTTATCTCAACTATGCTTGTTTTATTAACTGTTGTATTACCTCCCCGCCCCCCCCATTAGAATAATCTTAGAACAGTGCTTTAGCATATTATTGTGATTAAAAAGTTGCAATGGCTCCTTAAATAGTTTAAAAACGAAATGGCCCTAAATTGGAAATCTTCCACATGTAGCTCCAACATATCTTTCCTACCTTCTTGTCCACTGCTCCTCTTCATGAACCATTCTCTATTCCAGAAAAACTGTTTTGTTCATCTACCCTGACCATCTCTCAGTCGTCTCTGTTCTTCTCACTACCATTGTAGGAATGTAAGCTTACATCAGTTTTTAGCATGGACCGTTATTGGTAGCCTCTAAACTTGTGTTCCTGCCTCTATTCTAGATCACCCTCCAAGCAGTTTATACACTCTACATCCAAAAAGATTCTTTTGAAACCAATATGAATCAGTTCAGAACTCTGCTTATTATCCTTCAGTGACTCCACATCATCTTCACCAGTGACTCTCAATTTGAATGTGCATAGGAATCCCTTAGTACTTGCTAAAAATGTAGAATCCAGGCCACATTTCCCCAAATTTGATAGGTCTGATGTGGGGCCTTGGGCTCTGCATTTTAAGAAGCCTCTAGATCCATGTTTCTTAACTGCAACTCACAGTAGGAAATAGATTTTACTTCTCTACTCAATACATACACATGCACATGTACACACATAGATAAAAAACAATATTCTTCCTACATGCAGTATACTCTCTAATCCATTCCTTTCCATTTGATTTTTTTTTTTTTTTAAAGAAAATGCATGTCCAACCCAGTAAATTAATTTTATGACCAATGGGTCCTAAACTCTTAGTACATGCAGTATGCTTTCTATTCTATTCAATTCCATTTCTTTCTTTTTTTTTTTGAAGACAGTGCTTAATGAACCCACTAAATTAATTTTATGACCATTGGGTTTCAAACTACAATTTGAAAATCTCTGCCCTAGATGATTCTAATGCAAGTGATCCATGGACCACACTTTGAGAAACCCTGATATACTTGCTAGATTCAGTTTCTCAAGCATGGCATTTAAAGCCCTTCATAATCTGATCCTTGTTTTCCATTCCAGCGTCATTTCTAGCTGTCATCCTCTGCCTCAACTTCCTGTCCGTCCTTCCCCTAGCACTGAGTGCACACATGCCATCTGAACTTTTGGCCATTCTGAATTACTTGTCATGTTAGAAGAGCCATATTTTTTCTTGCTACTATGTTCTTATACGTGCAGTTCCTAGCATGAAATGCCTTAATCTACATGGTGAATTCTTTCTGCTCATCCCTCAAGTTTAAGGGACACTTCTTTCAAGCTATCTGTGACCTTCTCAGAGCAAAGTATTCTGTTTTCCCAAAGTGCTGTACATATTCTAATATGGTTAATCCCCCTGAAAAAACTCAAAACCCTTAAAACTAATTAAAATGGTCTGAACTCAGCTATAGACCTTTCTTGGTTGTTTATTCTATGCTATTTTCAGGATATACTGGTAAATTCTACCACTTACGTAGGAATTTGTCAGAGCTGAACTGACACTTTTTTTTTTTTTTGCGGTACGCGGGCTTCTCACTGTTGTGGCCTCTCCCGTTTCGGAGCACAGGCTCCGGACGCGCAGGCTCAGCGGCCATGGCTCACGGGCCCAGCCGCTCCGCGGCATGTGGGATCTTCCCGGCCCGGGGCACGAACCCGTGTCCCCTGCATCGGCAGGCGGACTCTCAACCACTGCGCCACCAGGGAAGCCCGACACTTTTTTATAGATGTATCACTTAACACAGGAAAATTATACTGGTAAAGATAACAAGATACTAGCCGACTTTGTGTTATATCTTTATGATATATAGAAACAATGGAATTGGAAACGTTTAGCAGAATAGGGTCTACAAATTCTGGTCTATAGACTATCTCATTATGACAGTCTGTTCCCTAAAGATCAAATATGTGAAAATACAAAGACTATTAAAATTATTTTTACTTTGCATGTATCTAGGATGTTTTAAGGCGAGTCCTTATCTTTCTTGCCATTAGTTCTTTAAAACAGGAACTGTCTCTTGCAGATAGGGACATATAACAGTCAAGTAGTATTAAACTTGAGGCTTCATGTAAAATACCTGTTCAAATTATCTAATATGTGCTGAAGTCTAAATTGTGTGAGGAATTTATTTCAGGGCTCCATTATCAAATTTTAACAGTGTCCATTTAGCTGGCACCAAAAAAATGTCAGTTAGACTTCATAGGGGACTCTTACTGCAAAAGCAGGGAAAAAATTTTTAATTGTCATTTTCTAGTTATGTATTTAATGACATATAAGGAATTCTAATATTCAGTGATTAAAATCCATAAAGTATTTGCAATTCTGTTTTATTAGTCGCTTTACTTTTTTTCCATGTACAGAGGACATTGAGTTGTTGTGAGAGCACAAAGGCTGTTTTGCAGTTGAGTTTGGGGGGATTATTTTATTTTGGTAGTCTGAAAGGGAATACAGTTTAAAAAGACATGCAGTCTCTTGACAGATTCTTGTCTCTAAAAGTCTGGTTTAATACAAGAAAATAAGAGCCTTTCCTCACCACTTAAAACTTAAAGCCTAAACAGCAAGAAGAAAAAAAAACTCTTGTGTACTTCATTATCCTTCATTGCAGTCATTTTAGAAAGCCTTC